AAAAAAAAAAAAAAAAAAAAAGAAGAGAGAGAGAGAGAGAGAGAGAGAAAGAAATTGTTTTTGATGTTGGTGTAAAAACAATGAAACATTTTCTTACTAGTTGTGAGATTTGAGTAAGTCTTTTAACTTCTCTATACTTGTATTCCAGTTGAAAGGGGATAATAATCTCTCATTCATGAGTGTGTTATAAAAACTAGGTTAGAGACTGCTCATAGAACACCTGACATAGTGCTTAGGATATGGTAGGTGTTCAATGTTCTATTACTGGTAAGTTCATATTATAGTGATCTACTACTGTCAAAGTAATACAGGATCCTCTGAATCAGTGGTGTATTCGTGATCACCAGAAGATAGTATACTGGCCAGCTGTAATGCTGAGGCCATGTGGATGGAGCTGGAGGATTGGTCCTGGGTTCTAATCTGAGTACCCCTGTTCACACCAAGTATGCAGGAGTCCATGATCCTGGTTGGTTAGGGCTGTGGTTGGATCATGGGGTGGGAACCCTGTTGGGGATACCTGTCTCTCTTTCTCTCAGAGGAAGTAAGTAAACAAACAAACAAAAAAGAATAGACTTGTAAGAACAAGTGATGTTTGGGCCAAGTTCCTGAAATGAAATGTTTTTATCTTCTGTATGTTCTTATCTTTGTAGACCATGGGGAGCTTCAGAGGTCATGCCCTCCCTGGAATCTTCTTTTTTATCATGGGAATTTGGTGGAGTATAAAAATTATTCTGAAGTATAACTGCAAAAAGCAAAAGCGAACCTTCTACCTTGGCTCCAAAGCATTATTCCATCGAATAGAAATTTTGGAGGGAATTATAGTGCTTGGCATGGCTTTAACTGGTGAGTAGACCATTTCTGTGTTTTGTTTTCTCTTTTTTGGGTGTTTTCACATATAAAGAGAAGGTTTAACATAAAATCAAGAAATTGCTAAAATGAATCTCTTATTTGAAAATCTCTTATCATATATTTTTATCATGATTTCTACCTGATATAACTTGTTACATAGGTGATACTTCATGCTTATGCAAAGATCTCTTTCTTAATGAATTAGTCACAGTATTGTAGTTAACTTGCCTAGCTAGTCAAGGTGAATTTACTTTATAGCATTGGTTGGAACTTCTGAAATAATTTCAATTGAAATTATTTGCTGGAAGGAAAATTATTTCACTGAAAGTCCTATCAGAAACCATTTCACAATGACAACAAAATAATGAAATGTTTATGGAAAAGTGTCAGTAATAAATCACTGATGATTTATGACTGTAGAGGGGGCTAAGAGCTGAAGAAAACTTTGCCTCATTAATACATCCTTTTTGTCCTGGTTCTGAATTGGAAAAAGAGATTAGGCAATATGACTTTAAGGCCTTAACACTGAGTAGAAAGAATCTGTGAGAATGTTATGTATTTTTGCAGTTTGACTGCAGTCTCTCCATTATAAAAGGTAAACCTTCTCGTTTTATCATTAAATTTCTTCATGCTATGTTTGTGGCAGTAGTCTGCTGTGGTCATCAAATTACAGAATAATTATTTCTAGAAAGATATTTCCTTGCCAAATTCTGTAGCTTAAAAAATAAGCTGAGTTGGAGAAGCCCTTCTTTCCC